ACCATGGAGATATAAAGAGCTTTTTATAAGGTAAAAATAATAAAACAAGGTCTTTGTCTGCAATGATTAGACATGTTTTTTTTATTACTGTCATTAGTGATTATCTCAATTTTGGCTAAAAGAATTGACAAAATCCTACACACTGTGCCTTTAAGAGGTTTCAATTTCATTAGAAGGAAACTGCTTTTGCAGATGTTGTAAAGATATAATCAGCAGAGGATAACTATAGCCCTGTTTCACAACATCCGCTGTGAAATGAACTTTTTTTTTAAAGTTTATATTTTAGGATAAAAGTTCTTGTACTTCTCTGGCTCTGATATAAGTAAATACTATTCGATTTAAAACAAAATAAAATGTGGAGACTGTGTCTAGGGGAGAAACCTACTCTTACTGCTAAAAGATTAAGTGAGAAGGTAAATATCTAAATGTTGATTGTTTTTCATCAGCTTGTTTGTGACATGCATCACGACAGGTTGCTGGAGCACCTGCTGTGGTTTCAACCACATCCCACAGTCCTCACCTGTYGGTCACCCTTCGCTGCTTCGGTTGGGTTTAAAAAAACAAACTGAAAACAAAGCAGTGCTTCTCAGKTGGCTTTCTACATCTATCCTCAGGAATCAGCTCTGTAGTGTTACGTTTCCTCTGACACAAACGTATCTTTGCAGCTCGGCACAAAGGAAGGCTACCTGGTGAAACAGGGAGCGTTTGTGAAGGTAGGAACAATAAAGCTGTAATCTTGATGTCGGAACACAAATCAGCTCTWGTGATTCTAAAAGACGATGTTTGGTATTCGGATCTTTCTGCAGAGCTGGAAGCAGAGGTGGTTCACGCTCAACAGATATGAACTGAAGTACTTCAAAGACAAAATGGTGACGATCCTCTCGATAAATACAGTATCTCTTCGCAGCYTTGGTTCTGCCAGCAGGAGTGTTTGGTCTGCAAACACATTCTGTGTAGGCAGCAACACGTTTAGGTTCAGATGATTTAAGCTCCCGGTGTTTACATATCATCAGTCATTGTGTCCTCGTTGCAGTGTGAGGAGCCCATCCGGACCCTGGATCTGAGACTGTGCTCTGCGGTCCAGTTCGACTACTCTCAGGACCGAGTCAACTGCTTCTGGTACAGTGCGGCATTTGATAGTTTCCCACAYCATCCTCATTAACAGATTAGCATCCATAAGACTTTCTGATACATCTCTAAATTGMTTTAAACCTGATCTCTCTGGTTGTACTCAGTTCATTCAATGCAAAACATTCTCTTCTGAACCCTCTTCTCTTTCCTCTGGTGTACTCCAAGGCTCTATCCTTGGACCCCTCCTATTTATCATCTACATATTTTGTAATCACAATGTACAGCTTCATTGCTATGCAGATGACACCCAGCTCTACTTTCCCGCCATACCAAACGTATCCGTTCCACTTACCTGCCTCTCTGCCTTCAGGAAATCAGGTCTTGGTTCTTGAATAACTTTCTTAAACAGTGACAACACAAAAATCTTACTTGTTGGCGCCAAATCCACCCTTTCCAAGACTAACAATTGCTCCATTTACGTTGACAACTCACTAGTTTCTCCATCTCCCCAATTTAAGAGTCTGGTTGTCATCATTGACAATACCTTAACTTTCCACTCTCATGTTAATAATGTCACTCAGTCATCTTATTTTCACCTGCGTAACATCTCCCACCTGCGTTCATCCCTTACACCCAACAATACAGCCCTTTTATTTTGTTCAGTAAATCGATTTATTGTTTTTATTGTGTTTTTGTTCTATTGTGATTTTATTATTGGTTTTTGTAAGGTGACCTTGGAAGTTTTGAAAGGCACCTATAAATAAAATGCATTATTATTA